CGTTTCCGTTGCATTTGACCACGAGGATTGGCAGTTGGTCGTCACGTCCAACTTCACCAAACGCATGTGTCAGAGGGATCCGAAGGCCACATTTACAGTAGCTCTGAAGCCACAGAAGTTGGGACGATTAAATGTGACAGCGGCAGCCAGGGTGAAATCGGGATCAGGAGATGCTGTTTAACGTTCAATTCTTGTCGTACCCGAGGGTATAGAAGCAGAAATTATCGTGGGAGGAGAGCTGTGTATTTCCGATGGAAGAAAGTCGCTGGAGGAGGAAATGCGATTAGACCTACCGGAGCACACAGTGGAGGGTTCACTGCGTAGCTATGTCTCAGTAAGTGGCGATGTGCTCGCTAAGCCAATGAATAATCTGGATAATCTAGTAAAACTGCCAACGGGCTGCGGGGAGCAGAATATGGTGAAGGTAGCACCAAGTGTTTACGTGCTCAAGTATTTGGTTGCAGCTACAGACCTGCAGGAGCCCGATATCAAGAAATTGGCACAGGCAGCAATCAAGTACATCATTAGTGGCTACACCAATCAGCTCAACTATCGTCATGATAATGGCTCTTTCGCAGTTTTCCTCTCCTGGAAGCCCGACAGTACTTGGTTAACAGCCTTTGTTTTCGGTGTGTTCAGCGAGGCTGAAAGGCTGCTGCAAGAAAAGGCCCTCGAAAATTTGCGGACTGTTGACGTTACTTTCGAATCGCCACTCTCCACGTCTTTCAAATCTCTCAAGGCAATGCAACGTGAGGATGGTTGTTTTGTGGAGTACGGTCGAGTATTTCAATTAGCCCTACAGGCTTTTGGCAGTTCTCCAAGAGCAAACGGCCTCAAGGACCTGCTTCTTACTTTGTACGTCCTTTCAGCTCTGGTCGAAGCTCCAGTGGCTCTTAAGGAAGACAAATCTCAACCTTATTCCAATGCATTAGAATCGGCGAGTAGAAGTCTATTGGACATTATTGATTCACTTAATATTTCTGAAATTCCCCTACAAATTCTTGCCAATGTGGCCTACGCACTCAGGCAGTTTCCAGAGCAGCCGAAATACCTAGGAAAGCGGGAGTTTATTTACAGAGCTTTGATCAATAGAGTTTCGGAAACGAATGCACCAAACGGAGCAATGCGCTTGTGAAAGGACGAGGGACAAACCAATCTTGCTTCCGAAGTCGAGACGACAGCCTAAGCATACCTCGCTCTAGCGGAGTACCAGTCTATCTCTGAACTGCGGCCTATCATCCGCTGGTTGTTGACACAACAGAATGAGCGAGGTGGCTTCTACTCGACTCAAGACACTGTTGTGGCCCTGCGGGCACTCGCGCATGCGGCTAACTGGCTGCAAATCTCGGCAGGACGAGAAGCCCAAGCAGTAGTGACGACGAGTATTCTGCCTGGAGGTCTGAAGACGGAGGGTATAGTAGTGAACCGGTCGAATGTACATATCTCCCAGCAAGTTGGACTGGGCTACCACAACCCAGAAGCGTCGATGGAGGTCAAGTGGGAGGTGTCCGACCCAGGGAACGCCATCTGTGTGTTGGTGCAACTTTCTGTCCTCTTTAACGTGCCCAATCACGAGCCTGATCCGGACATCGAAAATTATCCCTTTTCGATCAGTGTCCGCATAATCCAGGCTGAAGAGTCCACCGCAAAATGCACTCAGCCCAAGACGGCCGTGTGTGTACGCTTATCTGAACAAACTGTTAACTCAAATGAACCTATCCCCGAAGGCATGATTCTCCTTACGTTTAAGTTGCCAACTGGATGGAAAATTAACTGTGCAGATTTGGAAAAATTGCGATACCCTGGCCTGAGTAGTGTTGAATGCGATGCACAAAAGCAGGAACTGTTTGCCTACTTTGATGGATTCACAGATAGTGAAGCCGAGCACATCGGTGGATGTGAAAAGATGGCGCGATGTATCAGTCCAACACTAAAGCAAAGCGTGTTTGTCGAAGATCTCAAAGCCTCTCTGATACGCCTACAATATTACTATGCTCCAGAACAAAAGACCGAAATCCCCATTCGACTAAACACCTACAAAATCTACTGGCAATCCCGATTTTCTGCAGCAGACAAACACGACTGAGGCAAGCTGAAGGTTTGAAGGCGCTTGGCCTGAAGCTTGCACGATGCATCGTGAATCCACTCCCTCTAATTGCTTCTTTTTGTTCATTTTCCCTGTTCTCTTCTGGTATTTCGATGCCTACCCTTTCAGTTTATTTTCAAGTATTTGCGTATTGTTCGCTTTATTAATGTTAACTTGTGTCGCAACATTGATACAATCCGCATCTTTCTTAATTAAAAAACTCTTTGTCCTGCGACTCATTCAGTCGATAATACACTTATGTATCCCGATATTGTTGTAATGCCTTTCTCCCATTGATTGCGTTGGGATTGGCTGGAAATGAACTGTGTAGGCACGTTGGTAATCGAAGTAGAAGCGTGGATGTATTCAAAAAACGGATCGGGTATTAAATAAGCGGGACAACGCTTTCGAATTTGAGCTGCCGGTTTTTTTTTGCCCTCCATTCACGTGGGAATTTATTAGTGTATACCAGACCTCTACTTCTTTTCT